TTTTTTTTTTTTTTTTTTTTTTTTTTTTTTTTTTTTTTTTTAAAGCGTGAATCTTGAGTATGACACTGCGGTCAGACAAAATGTTGGTTAATCCACAGGGCAAAAGGACATGTTTACACAGATTTGACCTCCTTTTTAGTTTGAACAGATACCTATGGATCTAGATAAACTGTGGTCTGATTATGACAGTTCGGGGATTTCAGTCTGTCAAGGTTCCAGTTCAAAGAACAATGTGATTACAAGGTCAGACACAACACTTTGCTGCCTCATTTAACTCTGCCTTCGAACATTATGAAGCAGCTGACTTGGGAATGTCAACATGCCTCTTTTTTTAAAACTCATATAAGCTTGAAGAACTCTAAAATAAAGTCTCATGTGAGAATGAGTCAAGGTGAATTATACTGAGCTTCTGACAACAGCAACAACTAATTAAAAAGGTTGTCATTAATCTCAGTGACATGAGTTGCTTACCTGCCTTTGTGAGCACCGATGCTTTCACATACACGGAGTGACCCACCAGAGACCTAATGTCGGGGTAAGCTGCCCTGATCTCCTCCATACTCAGTGTAGCAGTTCCTCTATCCAGCTGAATGCAAGAGCAGAGGACAATTTCAGGTTATATCCTTTTCTCCATTTTTATTTTTTATTTATTTATTTATTTTTTAATTTTGCCTGTTGAGTGGGCAAACTATAAGTAAAACCTCTTTCATGGAGTGAGAGAAAGACATACAGTGTGACATCAATGAACAAAGTACTGAAACTTGTGTGAACCTTCGAAAAGATACATTTGGTTAGGTTTTTTTTAAGAGATTGTTTTCCTTCTTTAGACTGGACTCTAACAGCACCATTTCAAAGCATGGGCAAAAATATCCAGCAAAGGCAGGAATATTCCAATTATTTGATGAGGTATGTCGAGCATCTAACAGGCAAAATCCTGAATACTTTTTTAGGAGTCGGCGGAGCTAATAACAAAAATAAATTGAGTGTGTACCGTGGACAGAAACCAGTTATGGCAGCTTGACAAGCCAAAAGCATGTCTGAGCAACATTTTATTGTCTATTAAAAAAAAGAATGATGCTATCAGGAACAAATACATCTATTATAGAAATAGACAATATAGTATATTTTATTGCCAGGGAAAAACAAACATAAAAGAAAGCTTAAACCCCAGTAGATGCAAATCAAAGGGAGGCCAACAGTAAAAAAAAAAAATATTAGTAGTTGGCTATAATAAATCAGAGAAAGCAACTGGTGAATTTCAGAGCAAACTTACTTCGGACACCTTCTTTATTGAAGGTAATCTTTTCATCTGCTCGTTGATCTTCACTCCAAAAACAACATAAGCTGTTCCCTGGACCGGCTTTCCATACAGATAGCTGAAATGCAGCCAGAAAACTGAATAGTTAGCAGTACTTCTCTTGTTCCTTAAAAATGATTTCTTTATTCCATGCATTGTGTGCAAAGCTTTCAGTCTTGGACTTTGAAGGAGGTGTATTGTTTTAGGATATTGCTGAGACTAAACTCCAAAAACAAAACAAAAAACGAGAGAATGTTTTAGTTAAAGATTAACACAGGTTGAAATTTCAGAGGGGTTTATATTAAGACAAAGTTGTTTGAAAGTTGCTTTAGGAATGCGCGTCTGTGTGTGCTTCTGTGAATTTCACCAACTTTGCTGATATCTCTATCACCAGCTCAGTGTCATCCAAGCTGAGGGAGGACTTCTTGGATGTCAATGTAACATTGAAGGCAGGGAGCACTACAACAAGAAATCATTTGCATTTGTGTTGCAGTGTTTTACATTCATAGAAAATCTAGAAAGTTTGATTTTATTGAATTATTGGTAACAAAAAAAGCATGACTTCACTTACCGTATTTTTTCACTTCAAACTTGGAGGTAAACGTGTTCTGCTGCCAGTGGTCAAACTTTGCAATCACTGACCATGTTCCTTCACTGTGAGACAACCAGTCACATTACAGAACAACACAGTTTAGACAACTTTGGTGATGGAAAGTAATAAATCTGTAATCTTATACATCGTGGTAAACGCCAAAATAAACTGAAGCCACACAGCTGAGTCTTACTTTGCAATTTCAGACAGAGGAAATTCGTCTGAAAAAACACCGCCTACAGTTCTGGTCCGGGAGACTTGTTTTACCACCACATCATCTGGATTCTTAAACACAAAATATAGGTAAAAAATTTGTATTTATACTACGTGTTGCCATAACTCATGATTAGTGAGTTATATCATTTCATGTAACCCTTAGCAACAGGATTCAAAATCTCCCAATGAGTCTAGTTTTTAAACATGATTATCCCAAGAGTTGCCTGATTTTAGTTGTGGAATATTTGTTTGTTTTTTGGCCTTAAGAAAATCATTCCCTTGTTGGGATTTTAGATTTTTAAAAATGAAATTAACTTTACCTTGATGTCTATTGAAATGGAGTGGTCAACGGCCTCAAAGAATGGAGAGGACACAAAGGTCCTGAATCGAACTAATTCATAAACCAAGTGAGAAATGACAGGTGAGAAATAACTCAAAAAGAGTTTTAAGATCTGCTTCATTTTTTGGCAACACATTTCACACCCACCTGTGTTTCCCGGGTTGTAGATGGGCTTGTCTGTCTGGATGAAGACAGATCCTGAGTGAAAGGACACCATCAATATTCTCTCCTCTGTGTGGAGGTCGCCAAAGTTCACGATCAGATACACAAACTTGTTCCTCTGCTCGTCGCGGTACAAACCGTTCGATGAGAGCTAGGATAAAATCAAACGAGGTTATGATATTTAGAAGAAGCAATGGGAATTGGAATATTTTCAGGGCTCATACAAAGAAAATGTGGAAAGAACTTTGAACGCATGTTCTTCCCTATCCTCCAATATTTACATTTTCTATCAAAGCTCCATGAGAACATCAACCTTCTAAAGTAATTTGCAATGTGGGAAACCTGTATGGACTTGAGAGCATGGTAGCCATTCCCTTCGTTGAGCGTGACAGAGTCTCCGAGCAGTGTTATGCTTTTGGTGAAGTCCTTGATAGAAATGGCGACATCGATGGGATTGCGATTCGTCAAATCATCCACCTGTAAGTAGATGTTCTCCTGGCTGTCTGCCCTCAGCAGGTCTGGAGCCAGAAAAGTGTACCTTGAGGAAGACAACTTCACATGAATGGTTGCGACTTGTACCCCCCATATCGGTGCTTCTAGGAAAATTCACAGTGGTACCATAGTGAAAGCTTTGCACAACTTGTAACCAAAGTGGACACGATGCTCAGGTCGTGAATGGATTTGTGTTTATTTAGCCAGCTTAGGCACACACCTGGGCATCAATTCTCAGTCATTACAGTATACGGAGCATTTATTTCCAATCTATTCGACTTTCAACGGAGGCAATACGCCCAAACAAAATGCAATTTGATAGTTGTGTTAGTAGCTGAAGGGCAAAACATTTAATGATAGTACCTTGTCTCAGGGCTAACAATCTGAATTGGCACCAAATCCCTGTAAATAAATAGGAAAGGTTTTCATTTCAACCATGAGACTGTGAAATCACAACATTATT